TCCAGTCACACACCGCATAATGATGAACCACATACATGATGGGGCTGCCATAAAATTATTATTATTATTATTTTGAGATGGAGTCTCACTCTGTCCCCCAGGCTGGAGTGCAGTGGTACCTGTAGCTGGGACTGCAGGTGTGCACCACCACACCTGGTTAGTTTTTGTATTTTTAGTGGAGACGGGGTTTCACCATGTTGGCCAGGTTGATCTTGAACTCCTGACCTCAAGTGACCTGCCCACCTTGACCTCCCAAAATGTTGGGATGACAGGCCTGAGCCACTGCGCCTGGCCTCCCATGGGATTATAATACCATATTTTAACTACACCTTTTCTTTCTTTCTTTCATAATTGTACCATGAAAGATGGCACGATCCTGGCTCACTGCAGCCTCAACCTCCCAGGCCATAGTGATCCTCTTACCTCAGCCTCCCAAGTAGCTGGGACCACAGGCACACGCCAGTACACTTGGCTAGTTTTTTAATTTTTATAGAGATGGGATCGCCTTTTGTTGCCCAGGCTAGTCTTGAACTCCTGAGCTCAAGCAATTCTCCCACCTTGGCCTCCCAAAGTGCTGGGATTACAGGCGTGAGCCACCGCGCCTGGCCTGGATATTAATTTATTCTATCCTGCAACAACTGCCTAGTCCTATTCTTTCCTCCATTTTTAGATGCAGAAACTGAAGCACAGAGAGGCTAAGAAATCTGCTATATCTAGAAACCTAGCCTACTATACGTTTTCTGTGTTCAGATGTCACTCACCATTGTGTTACAGTGGCCTGCAGTGTTCCGTACAGTCACATGTGGTCCAGGTTTGTAACCTAGGAGCAGTAGGCTATGCCAAATAGCCTCGGTATGAGTAGGCTAGACTCTTCAGGTTTGAGTTCACTCTATGATGTTCACAGACCAACAAAATCACCTAATGGTACATTTCTCAGAGCACATCCCCATGGGTATGTGACGCATGATTGTGATTGCATTTATATTTAATTCAGAATTAAGAATCTCTGCTCTCCTCCTGAGAGCCATCTCTGACTGCCCCCACTCAAAACAACTGCCTCCTGTTTACCCACATCCCTGGACCTCCCCTCAGGGGAGTGCCCGGGTGGGCATAGGGTCTGGGGCCTCAGCTCCCTGCCCTCACTGTTGCCTCTCTCCCCGCCCTCCTAGAAGTGACCCCTGCCCTCTGAGAAGTGAGTGAGTGAGTATGGAACTGCAGGGAGCTGAACAGCCCAGGGCAGGGCATTGCTTTGCCTGACTTGCCGGGGGCCTTAAGACAGCTCCCTTGCAGAGCAGGGGGACTTGGCCTGGGAGGTCTCCAGCTTCCCTTCCCGCCCTTGCTTTTGGGGAGTCCCATGACTTGCTGTGTGACCTTCAGGGTGGGAGGAAGGGTTGAGAATCTGGGCGAGGCTCTCAAGGCTCAGGAAGGAAAGTACGATGGCTGCTTAAAAAAAAAATAGCTGAGTTGCTGCGTGAACAAACAAAAAAGCATAAACTAACAAAAAAGAAAACCTGCCAGCTAAGAGCCCACCCCACTGGTGGGGGGCAGCCTGGGCTCTTCGGGGCTGGGCAGGAGGGCGGGAGGAGGTAGGTGTGTCTGGATAACAGCCGTGTGTGGGCGAGACTTCACCTGGCATCCTCACTGTCTCCTGTTCCAGCCCAGCCTTGGCTCTTATGCTGGCCCAGCCTTTCCTGTGATCCTCTGGGGGTTAGAGAGCTGACCTTAGCGGGTGCCTCCTTGATGCCGAATACCTTCATTTACTCCTCCCAGTGCTTCTCCAGGGAAGGCACAATGCTCCCCGTATTAGGGAGGAGAAAGGTTGGTTCTGAGGAGTGAACTTATTTCTGGGAGTCACACAGCTCCTAAGGAGAGGGGCTGCAGTTCAAATACTGGGGACTGCAGGGTCCACGCTTCTGGGGTTAGGGGGTGCCCGTGGAGAATGCCAGAGCTCCATGCTGCTGGCCCAGGGAGGCCATGGCCCCAGCGCCCTGCCAGTGCCTGTTGGGTTGGGTTACAGCACCCCTCTGTGGGCACAGCTGGCCCTGTGGTGAACTCAGCTGTGCACTGGCAAGGGTGGAAGGTAAGGAGGGACCTTCTGCCTTAGCTCATCTCATTTCTCCTAACCTCTGCCCCAGCCTGACCCTGATCACCAGTTCCTGATCTCTGGGCCTCCTCCCAAAAGTCCCCATTACCCCATCTCCCAGGAAGCCTTCATTAGCCTCAGCTGTGGTTCCAACACTCGCTTCAGCCTGGTCCTGACCCACAGCCTCAGTTGTGACCTCTCCTAATTCCATCTCCGAGTGCTCATCCCAGCCACCCTTCCTCCCTTCCTTTCTCTTTTCTTTCCTGTCCTTTTTTCCCCCTTTCCCTTTCCGCAGGTTCTTGCTCTGTCACCCAGCCTGGAGTGCAGGGGCACAGTCATGGCTCACTGCAGCCTCAAGCTCCTGGTCTCAAGCCATCCTCCCGTCTCAGCCTCCCACATAGCTGGACTACAGGTGCACATCACAATGCCTGGCTATTTTATTTTTTTTTTAGACCAAGTCTCACTTGGCTGCCCAGGCTAGTCTTGAACTCCTGAGCTCAAGCAATCCTCCTGCTTTGGCCTTCCAAAGTGTTGGGATTACAGGTGTGAGCCACCACGCCTGGCCCAGGCTACTTTCATTACAACCCCAGTCTCAGTTCCACATCCACATCACTTCCTTCCCCAGGCACCTCCTTGCCCCCTGTGACCTGTTGTTCCTGAGGAAGCAAGGTGGAGTCAGATACAGGAGGACAAGAGTCCCTGGACCTCTCCAAGGGCCTAGGGGGCCAGTCCAGCCCAGAGAGGGCCCAGGGAGTCCTGGCCTTAAATGGACCTACAGGGCCCTTCAGGTATGCTGTGGGCAGACCCTGACTCAGGACTCAGGAAGCCTCCTGCATGCCAGGCTTGTTGAAAAATTCATCAGGTTACCAGTTAGGAAGGAATCCATTCTATTTTGTTAGGATGTGGTTGTACTGGAAACATGGGCTTTGTCAGTGAGACCGGAAATGCGTGGGTGAGAGCCTTGTGACAGGAACTCATCTGGGATGGTGTGGGGGGGGCAGCCTGTCCGACCTCACTTCCAGCTGCCCTTCCTCCCTAGGGGGCTGGGAGTGGGGCTCATCCCAGCATTGGGGTCCCCTGAGATGGAGACCTGCAGGAGAGGGGCAGGAGCTGGGGGAGCGTGCTAGATGGGGAGCAGAGTGCCAGGGGGTGGTCACAGCCCTGCGGGAGCCATGCCCAGCCAGCCCTCCTTGAGACCCCTGCTCCCCAGACACTTTATAAGGTACTTGGCTCTTGGCCAAACGCAATGGCTCACACTTGTAGTCCTAGCACTTTTGGAGGCTGAGGTGGGCAGATCACTTGAGGTCATGAGTTCCAGATCAGCCTGGCCAACATGGCGAAACCCCATATTTACTAAAAATACAAAAGTTAGTGGGATGTGGTGGTGAGTGCCTGTAATTCTAGCTACTCTGGAGGCTGAGGCAGCAGAATCGCTTGCACCTGGAGGCGGAGTTTGCAGTGAGCCTAGATCACATGACTGCACCCCAGCCTGGGTGACAGAGTGAGACTGTCTCAAAAAAATAGATGAATAAATAAAAATAAAATCATAATCTACCTGGCTCTGCCATCCCCATGGTCCATAGTAGGACTGTCCTAAATGGGATGCCCATTCCCAAGCCACCTGACTCCTGGTGCTGGGCTTTTATGGAGCCAGTGGGACCAGGACCTGTCCCTCCTGATTCAGCCTTACTTTATCTTTTGCAGGGACTGTCCCAAAATAATGCTTGACTGAGTGCAGAGCTGCTGAGGAAGCCTGATCAAAACGCAGACTCCTCCCCACCCTAGAACTTTTACTCCAGGAGTTCCCAGGGAATTCTGATCATTTGTCATGTTTGGGAACCATGGGGCTGGGTCACTGCACTCACTTTAAGGTTTCGGGGAAACAGGCCTGAGTGTCCCCGTCACAGGCACATGTAGAAACATGCCCGTTCTCCACTGTCCTGTCCTCTGTGGGTTTGGGGGTCTCCTCGAAGAAGGCACTGCCCTCATCTCTGAATCTCTCTGAAGCCTCCCTCCTCTGTGCTTTTTGCAGTGGGTGAAACCCACTGGCATGTGTCTCCAACAAGCAGAATCCTTTGACACACACTGCCCTGCAGCACCACCTTTTGGCAGATCCTGGTATTGTTTTAGTATCTCACTGCATCCTGTAGCAGGGCAATTTGCAAATAGCCAAGTGCTTGGCTTTGATTGGCTCCTGCTTGACTCTGGATGGGGCCGGGGGTAGTGATCTGCGTGGACTTGTGGATTCGAGTTTCTGGTGAGGCATCTTAGAAAGCAATACTGGCCGGGCGCGGTGGCTCATGCCTGTAATACCAGCCCTTTGGGAGGCCGAGGTGGGCAGATCACGAGGTCAAGAGATTGAGACCATCCTGGCCAACACGGTGAAACCCCGTCTCTACTAAAAATACAAAAATTAGCTGGGCGTGGTGGCATGCACCTGTAGTCCCAGCTACTAGGGAGGCTGAGGCAGGAGAATTGCTTGAACCTGGGAGGTGGAGGTTGCAGTGAGCCGAGGTTGTGCCACTGCACTCCAGCCTGGCACCTGGCGACAGAGTGAAACTCTGTCTCAAAAATAAATAAATAAATAAATAAATAAATAAGCAATACTGCCTGGTTCAGGGTCAGTTTTTTTGCCTGAGGTCTGGCCAGCCAGAGTGGCCCATGAAGTCACTGCAGCCAGGTGCAGTGGCTCACGCCTGTAATCCCAACACTTTGGGAGGCTGAGGCAGGAAGATCACTTGAGCCCCAGGAGTTTGAGACTAGCCTGGACAACATGGTGAAACTTGTCTTTACAAAAATTAGCTGGGACCTGTAGTCCCAGCTACTCAGGAGGCTGAGTTGGGAGGATCACCTGAGCCAGGGAAGTCGAGGCTGCAGTGAGCCGTGATCACGCCACTGCACTCTAGCCTGGGTGACCGAGTGAGATCTTTTCTCAAAAAACAAAAACAAAAATCACAGCAACGTGAAGGTTAAGGCTAAGTTTTCAAACATCAGAATCCTGACAGCTGTTGCAACGGCTTTCCAGGAGACGTGGTGTGTGGCCAGCTCCTCGAGGGCTGTGTGGACAACTTTTTGTGCATTTTCCTGTTGACCCACAGGGTCAAAGGGAGAAAGGTAGCAGTTGTTCAACACTTGACACGTGCTTGAACACTTCGTGACTGCAATCCTTCGCCATGCAGTGGCACCATCTCCCCTTTTTAGATGAAGAAACCAAGGCACCAACATAAAAAGTAACTTGCTCAAGGCAACATAGGAAGTTATAAAACCAATCAACACATACGGAATGTGCCTATCTGCTAGGCTGATTTAATATCTCATTTGACCTTCCAGATACCCATCTGATGTAGGTACCACTCCCAGCTCCAATTGTGGGATTCAGAGTGGAGAAATAACTTGTTCAAAGTCGCACTTGGTTAGTAAGTAGGAGGGCTGGGGTTGTGCCATGGAGTCAGATGCCAGAGCCCATGCTGTAACACCACTGCCCAGACCCCTGGACCCTGCTGTGCCTCACCTGGCACCTGTGCTCTGTTCCAGGGCTCTGGAGGCCACGGGCATGATGCTTCGGGTCCTGGTGGGGGCTGTTCTCCCTGCCATGCTGCTGGCTGCCCCACCGCCCATCAACAAGCTGGCACTGTTCCCGGACAAGAGTGCCTGGTGCGAAGCCAAGAACATCACCCAGATCGTGGGACACAGTGGCTGTGAGGCCAAGTCCATCCAGAACAGGTGGGACCCAAGGGGTGGATGGGGGGATGCGGATGGGGGCCCAAGGAGGGAGAAAGAGGGACCAGGGCTGCCCATCCCTGCCTCCCAACAGTGACACGCATGGTGCCCTCTCCTCCCACAGGGCGTGCCTAGGACAGTGCTTCAGCTACAGCGTCCCCAACACCTTCCCACAGTCCACAGAGTCCCTGGTTCACTGTGACTCCTGCATGCCAGCCCAGTCCATGTGGGAGATTGTGAGTACTGCCGGCCTGCCCCGCCCAGCCTTGGCCCAGAGCCTGCCCTGGCCTTGGCCTTTCTCCCCAGCCTCCTGCATTCCAGCAGGTGGACACAGCAGCGTAGCAAGGCCCCGCTGTATGCAGGGTAAAGGGCTGGGAGTACAGACATGGACCCCCCACAGAAGTCTGACACCAACTTGTACAGGACAGGGATCTTCCCGAAGCTCCATTCTGATGCCTCTCGTGGGCTGAAGTCCTTTGAAGGGCTTCCTGTTGTTACAGGATCAAACCAAAGTCTTTGCCCTGCCCCAAGAGCCTGGCGTGGCCTGGCTCAGCGGCCTTTCCAGCCTCCTCCTGCTTCCCGCCCTCCTCACTAGCTTGGCACTTAACAGCACTGCCTCCGTTCAGTCCCTCGCACCTGCTCTGCTCACTCGTACCCCACGGCCCTTGCCCCTGTCCTTTACCCTGCTTGGAACAACTTCTTCCCCCTCCTCCTTACCTAGTTCACTTCTATTCATTCTTCTGCTCTTGTCCCAAGCAGCATTTCCTCAGGGCCCCTTTCCAGACCCCCTGACTGGGCCACACCCCCGCACCGTTGGCTCTCAGAGCACAGCTTGCCTCCGCTTCAAGCACCTGTCACACCTGCAGTCTTCCACCTGCATCCGGGTGATTTTGACAGGTCTCTCTCCCCCGCTAGACTCTGCTTTCCTTGGGGGAAATGTGTCTTTGTGTCCTGAGAGCTGGCACAGGATAGGCGCTCTGTGGAAGGGAGGGAGGAGGAGAAGAAGGGAGGGAGAAGGAAAGAAGGTACTTAGATGGGTGATGATAGGGGCAGAGTAAGAGGTAGATGGGGTTCCTGCAGGGCGAGCCTCAGCTGGGCTTGGGCTTTGGGGTGGGGCTCTTTTGAGGAGGTAAAGTCTGAGCTCAGATTCAAAGGCACAGTTGGCAAGTGGCAGTGGGGTGGGTTGGGGAACCTTCCAGGCAAAGGAACAGCATGTGCAAAGCCCTGAGGCAGAGCTAAAGCACAGAATGGTTGAGAGTGGCACAGGGTCAGGGGTCGGGAGGCCAGCCAGCCAGCAGCACCTGAAGGCCCTGGGTGGCCTTAGAGAGGGGTCAGGGTTTGTCTTCAAGTACAGGGGGATGGGGACAGTGAGGGGATTTTAGCAGGGGCGGGCCACACTGGATTTCCCTGTGGCTGCTGGTGGGGAATGGGTGGGGAGGTAGCAGGTCTGGTGTGAGGAGACAGCTCTGGTGGCTTGTGCACGGGTTCAATTTCCCCCTCCCCATGGGACCCTGGAGCTAACTGGGCATCACAGGTGGGCTCTGGGGTTCTTGGTCCCATGAGGAGGTATTATCCTAGGGGCTTCCTCCCCAGGCCTTTGGAAGCATCCCTGTCCTTCTTTCTTTCCCTCTGCAGGTGACGCTGGAGTGCCCGGGCCACGAGGAGGTGCCCAGGGTGGACAAGCTGGTGGAGAAGATCCTGCACTGTAGCTGCCAGGCCTGCGGCAAAGAGCCCAGTCACGAGGGGCTGAGTGTCTATGTGCAGGGCGAGGACGGGCTAGGCTCCCAGCCCGTTGCCCACCCTCACCCCCATCCCCACCCCCATCCTGGCGGGCAGACCCCTGAGCCCGAGGACCCCCCTGGGGCTCCCCACACGGAGGAAGAGGGGGCTGAGGACTGAGGCCCCCCAACTCTTCCTCCCCTCTCATCCCCCTGTGGAGTGTTGGGTCTCACCCTCCGGGGAGGAGTTGGGGGAGAGGCTGAAGCCCCCCTTTGGCACTGGATGGACTTGGATTCAGACTCGGACTTGGAATGCTGCCCGGTTGCCATGGAGATCTGAAGGGGAGGGGTTGGAGGCAAGCTGCACAATTTAATATATTCAAGAGTGGGGGGGAGGAAGCAGAGGTCTTCAGGGCTCTTTTTTTGGGGGGTGTCTCTTCCTGTCTGGCTTCTAGAGAAGAACCTGTGGGAGGGGGAGGAAGTTGGCTGAGCCGCTGAGTTGGGGGAAGGCCATCCAAGATGGCATGAACCAGGCTAAGGTGTGTTGGGGTGCAGATGGTCCTGCTGAGGTTCAGGGCTTAGGGTGAGCATCTTGCAAGCCTCAGCCTTGAGGAAGGGGCTGGGCTAGAAAGACCGCTGGCAGAAACAGGAGGCTCCAGCCCCACAGGCTTCCCCCAAGGCCCCTCGCCCCCTCCCCATCCCCAGAGAAGCACTGCCCCAATGGCATTGAAGTGGCCTTTCCTCAGCGGAGGGGTTTGGGAGTCAGGCCTGGGCAGGACCCTGCTGACTTAACGGTGCTGGAGCTGGGCGCCGGGCTCTCTGGGCCTTTCTCTGGCTTCCTTGGCTTGCCTGGTGGGGGAGGGGGAGGAGAGGATGGAGGAGAGGGAGGAGTCTTCCAAGGCCAGAGGGAGGGGGACGACCCCCCAGACAATCCCTGAAGATCAGCCTCCCCTTCCTCTCCCTGTTAGAAACATTAGTGCACCCCCACTGTCCCCCAAGTTCTAGGCCCTCCAGAAAGTTGCTGGAGCGGGCCCCCCTCTCCGGGGGATGCTCTTTCTAAATATTGGATGGGTTTGGGAGTGAGGGGTTACCTCCCTTGCCCCAAGGTTCCAGAGGCCCTGGGTAGGATGAGCTTGGGCTGAGCCTTGAGGAAGTCCAGGACGAGGCCGACGTCTGGCTTTCGTGGACGGCCAGGGCTCACTCGGGCTCTCTCGAGCTCCCCAGTTCTGCCCTCCTCCTCCCTCCCAGCTGCACTTTAACTCTAGATGGGTGGGGACCTGGGGGGAGGGGCAGGGCAGGTGAAGAAAGCCCCTCTGTGCCCAGAACTGCCTGCGTCTGCTCTTCTGTGCCAGCCCACTGCCTCCTGCCTGGGGTGTCCCGGCCCTCCTGGCTGTTGCGACTCGGGCTTCTGGAGCGTCTCACCATTGGACAGTCTCCCTGATGGACCCTCAGTCTTCTCATGAATAAATTCCTTCAACGCCTGTGTGCTCCTCCTTACTGACTGGCTCTGCCAGGTTCTCTGCAAGTGCTGGCCGCGAGGCCCAGGGGAAGCGGGGCCTGGGCTCAGGCAGGGGATGCTGAGCAGACCTGCCAGCCCCTGCCCAGCAGCGCCGTCTCTGCATCCTGGTGGTCCTGTCCTGGTCCTGCCGTGTGCACCCTGGCGCGTGATCCTCCGTCTCCTCAGCTCCCACCACTTTACTTGGGTGCCAGTTTCTGGCCTCACATACACCTTGGGTGGGCCTCCAGAACCGGGCTTCATGGATTTTGACCTGTCTCCTCGGCTTGCCTCGTGCCATCTCTTTTCACCCACACAATGGCGTAGCATCAGCCCTCGCCTGGGCTTGGCCTGCCTGGGCGCCAGGAGATGGGGAAATGGACAAAAGAATTGGTTATGGGGCGGGGCGCAGTGGCTCACGCCTGTAATCTCAGCACTTTGGGAGGCCAGGGCGGGTGGATCACTTGAGGTCAGGAGTTCAAGACCAGCCTGGCCAACATGGCGAGACACTGTCTTTAAAAAAAAAAAAATTTAAAAGATTTTAAAAAAAAGTATTTGTTACAAATTAATATATAAGGCTGGTTCCTGTGCTGGGTCCTCACCCAGTCCAACCACCTCCCAGTGATGTGGATATTGTCCTCATTTTATAGATCAGGCATCTGAGGTGCAGGCGCTGGCAATTTTCCCAGGGTCACGTGTTGAAGAAATTTCACCAACAGGACTTGAACCCAGGCATCGGTACAGTGCCCACACCAAGCTTGGGGATGCCAGCACTCATTTATCATTGAGCAAGTCCATCGTAGGACATTTCACATTTGTTTGTTTATTTTTTTTTGAGACAGAGTCTCTCTGGAGTGCAGTGGCTTGATCTCGGCTAACTGCAACCTCTGCCTCCCGTGCTCAAGCGATTCTCCTGCCTCAGCCTTCAACTGGCTGGGATTACAGGCACCTGCCACCAGGCCCGGCTAATTTTTGTGTTTTTAGTAGACACAGGGTTCTGCCATGTTGGCCAGGCTGGTCTCGAACTCCTGTTCTCATGTGATCAGTCCACCTCGGCCTCCCAAAGTGCTGGGATTACACCACCCCCGGCCCTCATTTGTTTTACAGGGTGGGAAACGAGGGCTCTGGAAGCACAGGTGACTCGAATAAGCTCACAGTTCCCTTGATTCCTGGCCTCACACCTGCACACCTAATGGCAGCACAGTCTTGAGCAGGAACTGCCTCCATCCTGTGTCTGGAACAAAGCTGGGTATACATTCGTAGGTACATAAATAAGGGCTGGGTGCAGTGGCTCACGCCTGTAACCCCAGCACTTTGAGAGGCCAATACAGGAGTATTGCCTGAGCAACAAAAAGTGAGATCCTGTCTTTATAAAAAATAAAAAAATTAGGTGTGGTGGCATGTGTCTGCAGTCCCAGCTACATGGGAAGTTGAGGTGGGAGGATTGCTTGATCCCTGGAGGCTGAGGCTGCAGTGAGTCATGTTCATGTCACTGCACTCTAGCCTGGGTAATAGAGTGAGACCCTGTCCAAAAAAAAAAAAAAAAAAGAGGAAAGGAAAGGAAGGGGCAGGGGAAGGGTAAGAAGGGGAGGGGTAGGAGGGGAGGGAAGGGCAGGGCAACTTATAAGGGTCTGTTGGAAATAAAACAGGAAGGTGGGTTGGTCTGGCTGGTGCAGCCAGGAATGCCAGCCAGAGTTCAGACTTCATTCTCTTTGCACTGAGGCACCCTAGAGGTGTCTGTGCAAAGCTGGGTTTCAGGAGACTAAGCTGGGTTGAAGGAGGGAGATGCTGAGGCCATCGGGTGACTGCAAGTGTGCAGGCGGGAGAGGATGGGGCCGGTTAGGTCAGGAAGTGGGGTTGGAGAGGTGGGGCTGTGAGAGGCGCTGCTGATTGGATGTGGGAACCCAGCGAGAGGGAGGAGCCTGGCTTGAGAGACATCAATTGAGAAGCATCCCTAGGTGTGCCAGTTTTCCAGGATGGAGGGAATTGCATCCTCCCCCAATGATGGGGGACCAAGTCTTTCCAAGGGATTAGTACTGATACCAGCGCAGATAGCAACGCAGACCCTTCTCTTTCCACTTTGTTTGCCTGTATGGAGCCAGCTTTCAGCTGGTTTCCTTCCTCTGCTCCCAGCCTTTGAGGAGATCGACTCTGCTTGGGTTCAAATCCTAGATGGATCACTTCCTGACTACAGACTTGAGCAAGTCACATAAGATCTCTGAGGCTCAGGTTTCCTATGTGCAAAACGGGGAATAATAGTCATACCTGCCTCACTCTTAGGGTCGCAGTGAGCATTACATGAGTCAACACACATGCAGAGCTTGGAACACGCCTGGCCTTAGTAAGACCTCAGTGGATGTCAGCTGTTATGACTGAGAATGAATGACTGGCCCATGCTGCAGGCGGTCACACTGATAGTTTTGTACATTTATTCATTCATTGGTCAGATATTTATTGAGAGCCTAATACATGCCAGAGATCCAGCTGTGAACTGGACAGACAGGTCCCTGCCTTCAGGGAGTTTACCCAGTTGGTCATTGCCTTCTGGCACAGAGCAGCTTTGGTCAGGCCAGGCAACTTCCTTGGGGCCTCGATTTCTCCTTCTGTGTCATGAGGAGCTTGCCCCAGTTCTCTTGTGTACTGACAGGCATGGAGGTCTGGACCCGACAACTCCTTAAAACTCAGCTGTTCCATAGTGACATCTGCTGTCTCCTCTGGGCAGGAACCCCTCCTGGTTAGAAGTAATCAAGCAAAAGCTGAGGATTCTTGAAAGTCCCTCTTGGCCAGGCACAGTGGCTCATGCCTGTAATTCCAGCACTTTGGGAGGCTGAGGCAGGCGGATCATAAGGTCAGAAGTTCAAGACCAGCCTGGCTAACACGGTGAAACCCTGTCTCTACTAAAAATACAAAAAAAAATTTAGCAGGGCATGGTGGCAAGCGTCTGTATTCCCAGCTACTCCGGAGGCTGAGGCAGGAGAATCGCTTGAACCCTGGAGGTGAAGGTTGCCGTGAGCCAAGATCACACCACTGCACTCCAGGCTGGGTGACAGAGTGAGACTCTGTCTCAAAAAAAAAAAAAAAAAAAAAAAAAAGTCCCTCTTTACCCTGAAATGTTAAGAGGTCTAGGACTTCATTATTTCATGACCCAAATGACAGTTACAGGAGCACACAAATGAAGCGTTTGTGAATATCTCAGCCAGGTGTGGGACTCATGCCTGTAACTCTAGTGCTTTGAGAGGCTGAGACAGGAGGATCACAGGATCACTTGAGGCCAGGAGTTTGAGACCAGCCTGGACAATACGAGAAGACTTTGTCTCTACAAAAAACTTAAAAAATGTAGCTGGGTGTGGTAGTGCATACCTCTAGTCCTAGCTACTTGGGGAAGATAGCTTGAACAGAGGAGCTCGGGGTTAAAGTCAGCTGTGATAGCATCAGTGCTTCCAACCTGGGCCACAGAGCGAGACTCTTGTCACTAAAAAGGAAAAAAAAAAAAAAATTTCAAGTTCAAGATAATAAGAGTATGGCCACAAGGTGGCACCATGACCCTGGCCCAATCTTAAAACTCTTAAATGAAGCTGGGTGCGGTGTCTCATGCCTGTAATCCCAGCACTTTGGGAGGTGGAGATGGGTGGATCACAAGGTCAGGAGTTCCAGACCAGCCTGGCCAAGATGGTGAAACCCTGTCTCTACTAAAAATACAAAAATTAGCTGGGCCTGGTGGCATGCGCCTATAATCCCAGCTACTCCGGAGGCTGAGGCAGGAGAATTGCTTGAACCCAGGAGGCAGAGGTTCCAGTGAGCCGAGATTGTCCCATTGCACTCCAGCCGGGGTGACAGAGTGAGATGCCATCTCAAAAAAAAAATTTTTTTTTTAAATGTTAGTACCACCATATTATAATAAACATCAGTGGATCCATCACCCAGAATGAACAAATATTAAAGTTATTGCTAGGTTTTCTTTAGTTGTTTGTCTGTTTGAGATGGGCTCTCACTGTCCCCCAGGTTGAAGTTCAGTGGCTATTCACAGGTGTGATCATAGCTCACCGCAGCCTTGAACTCTTGGGCTCAAGCAATCCTCCCACCTAAGTCTCACAAGTAGCCAAAACTAGAGTCATGCACAACCACGCTTGGCTAATCTTTAAGTCTTTTTTAAAAATAAAAGATACCAAGTATTGTGGGAAAAATGAAAGGAGAAAAACTAATATTCTAAGCACTACGTACAGATTTTAACAAAGCAAACATTTTATCAGGCGAAACTGTTTACTCATCCCAGTGGCATCTCCACTGCCTTGGTTTCATAGCAGCAGAGTATTTCAGAGGCTTTGCATAACTTCACAGAGCAAGTGGCAGACTCTGGATGATGAGCTCAGGTTGCTGAAGTCCAAAATTCTTCCACACAGCACCTCTCAGGGTTACAGTTGTCCATGTCAGGAATCCCTGGGCTTAAGGAGTAAGCACAGAGCTGAATGTATTATCATTGTACAGATGGGAACACTAAGGCCAAGAGCTAGCGCTTTGTTTGTTTTTGTTTTTGAGATGCAGTTTCACTCTTCTTGCCGAGGCTGGAGTGCAGTGGCACGATCTCGGCTCACTGCAGCCTCTGTCTCCTGGGTTCAAGTCATTCTCCTGCTTCAGCCTCCTGAGTAGCTGGGATTACTCCACTACACCCGGCTAATTTTGTATTTTAGTAGAAACAGGGTTTCACCATGTTGGCCAGGCTGGTCTTGAACTCCTGACCTCAGGTGATCCCCAAAGTGCTGGGATTAAAGGTGTGAGCCACCACGCCTGTCCACCTAGCGATAACGTAGTACCAAAGACACACATTACATCAGTGTCATTTCATCCCCTCAGCAACTCTGTGAGGTGGGTGCTGTATTGTTCTGCTAACTAATGCAGAAAAGAAAACTGTTACTTGAAGAGATGGAGCCCCTGGCCCTGGATCCCAGAGCTGGGATGGAGCTGGGATCCCAAGCCAGGTCTTTCTGACTCT